CCCCCCCCCCCCCCCCCCCCCCCCGGTCTGACAAAACTGAGAGGCTACGTTTTCTTTTTGAAAGGGAACGTGCTCCACATGCAGACAGAAGACCGTAAAGTTCTAAGAAACACAAACAACTAAGGAACTCTATTGTAGCTCTCCTCTCCGCGTTACTTCCCCGTATTAGCCAAACACATACGCTAGAAATCACGACCCAAAGGAAAGAGTGTGATCTATAGTTCCTTTTCCTGTTAGCCCTTCTTTATCCATCTGTGAGTTGAAGGTAGAGTGTTACTTGAATGGACGTACTATGGAAATTGAAAGAAAAACAGTTGAGTTAGCCTTCTGCAGCATTTCCCTCCTTCTGATAGGAATAAAATGCATATGCGTGTATGAGCTGTAAAATGCAAATTGTGTAATTTCGATGATTCTGCATAAGTGCTTTCATATTTGTATTTGACCAGCGTGCACGACATAAAAAAATGAACCGTAAAATTCATGCTAATAATTTAAATATTTATTTTTTCTTTATTTATAACGTCCTTCAAGAAAAGTAAAAAAATAACATCATGACAAGTTAAGAGAAAGGCCAGAAAAAAGGGAAATTTTTATAATTAGAGACCTCTAGGGGCATGTTATTTTCTGCTTTTTGTTTCTTTCATTTTCAAATGTTTAGTTTTGAGAAAGAGAGAGCGCGCTCAAGCAGGGGAGCAGCAGGGAGCAGAGGGAGAGGATCTGAAGCGGGCTCCACAGTGTGGAGCTCGAACTGACCAACCATGAGATCGTGACCTGATCAAGATCAAGTGTCTGCTTAACCAACTGAGCCACTCAGGTACCTCTCAGCTTTTTGAATAAGAGGATCTACATTTTCATTCTCTTCTGGGCCCTGCCAATTTTATAGTTGGCTCTCGTTGCTCCAGAGTGGTCTGGTTTGTGACCTTGTTCGGTCATTAAGGGGTGGGGTTGGGGACAAATAGAAGGGGATGTGAGGCACTGAGGAACTCCTCAAGCCCCTGCCTTCCTGAGACCCTGTGGATTCCTCATTGTTTCAATGGAGGTCTTCTTTGCCTGTTCGCAAATTATCTCCATAATAGTAGTTTCTATCAGCCTCCCAACCAATGAATGGTCCCAATATTCCTCCTTGTTTCTGGTTTTCTAAATATACATAACCTTAAGTCATCTTTGCTATTGTTACTTCCCATAGAGCAAGTTCAAGTGCTTGTGTTCAATCATTTACTTTCAAAACCATTTCCTTTTCGTTCCATTTTTAATCCCATAATTTGAGGTCGCTAGAAGTGTTGTACACATAATAGCCTGCAGAGTTTGATTCTCTCCCTCGCCCTTTTTTCTTGTGTTCTGATGTTGTTCCCATTTATTCTTGGGGTGTACAGAATTGCAGTCAGGATCTAGGCTTTTGTAGATGTTGTGTTGGTTGCTGCTAGGGAAAAAAGAGAGAGAGAGAGAGAGAGAAAGAGAGATGTCTTACTTACTAATGCTGTTTAAAATTCTCCTAAGAGGCCATAACCAACTGACCAAGATGTCAATAATGTTTTACCCGTGTCTTCAGCCCTAGTGGCCTTCCGTGACCTTTAAGTAAGTCTTTTGATCTCGGCATAACCTCCATCTCTGATACCTAACTTCACACTGCCTAAATTCCTGGAGTCTTAGTATCAGAAAGTGCTAAGGTATAAATCCCATTCCGATTTCTTTTATCTATGTCCTAACGAAAGCCTTAAAATTTCAGGATAGTCTTCAAGCCTGCCCACCCCCCCACTGCCGCCATGCCCAGATGTGTCCTGCCCTTTTCTGCCTTACTCTGGACAGTTCAGAAACACCAAGTTGCTTTTAGTTCTTCAAAGGTACCCTGTGTTTCAAGCCCTCTTATTTGCCTCATGTGAGTCGTTCTGTCTAGAACCACCTTCCTTGTCTTCTCCACCTAGATAATTACCTTTCAAGCGTTTAGTATCATCTCTGGCATTTCCTTTTCCTTCACAACGTAAGTTAAGAGCTATAGGGCTCATGTTAACCTGGGTATCATTCTACTTAGCAAATACTATATACATTCAAGTCATCTGTTTATGTGATTGCCTTCAGACCGAACTGTGATGCTCTTGAGGGCAGAGACGTACCTTTTTATTTGCTGCAAGTTATGTAGTCTCTCTCTCTTTCTCTCTTTCTCTCTCTCTCTCTCTATATATATATAATTTTTTTGCCTGAAAAATGAACTGAATTAGATGCATTCTAATCTAATATGTGACACCTCTTCTGGGTATTATTTATGTGGTTCTAACCCAGAGAACACCAAAATATGCATAGAAATGATATGCATCAGCATTATTCTCATAGAAATTTTAAAGTCATGGAATCTGAAAATTAGAAAGAACCCCAGAATATCCTACTCAATGTAGTAATCCCCTTTACAAAGCTATTTATTTATTTACTTATTAGAGAGAGAGAGAGAGAGAGAGAGAGAGAGAGAGAGAGAGAAAACGAGCACAAACAGGGAAGGGGCAGAGAGAGAAAGGGAGATGCAGAATCTGAAGCAGGCTCCAGGCTCCAGAGCCTGATGTGGGGCTCGAACTCACAAACCGTGAGATCATGACCTGAGCTGAAGTCAGAAGCTTAACCAACTGAGCCACCCAGGTGTCCCTCCTTCACAAAGCTTTGGTCACTAGTGTTTAATTTAATTTTTTTAACCAAGTTTGGGTAATGGGGATGATTGAGGAAGAGAGTTTCGTGAATCCTTTCCATCCAAAGCCAATCCCTAATATAAATTCTCTTTTCCAATCAGGGATGAGCTACTCAGTTTAGAAGTAGGGGGAAGGTCACTAGAAACTTTTGCTATCCCTAGGTTTGGGCAAATCCTCTCCCAAGAATATTGCAAAGAAGACTTCACAAAATTTCCAGGTATTCAGGAGTTCTGTTATTATCTCAGCTAAGATAAGCCCCTTAGAAAACAGTTTGGGTCTTCTTCATGCGGTTCAGCCAGAATTTTAATTAAAAAAAATTTTTTTATATATTTATTTATTTTTGAGAGACAGAGACAGAGCACAAGTTGGGGAGGGGCAGAGAAAGGAGACACAGAATCTGAAACAGTCACCAGGCTCTGAGCTGCTAGCACAGAGCCTGACACGGGGCTCGAACTCACAAACTGCGAGCTCACGACCTGAGCCGAAGTCAGATACCCAACCGACTGAGCCACCCAGGCGCCCCCAGAATTTTAATTTCTTAGTACTTTCTCAAATCTTTCCTTCTTGAGAAAGTTAACTGCCTTGGTTGTCATTTTCATCAGTGTCCTGCATCGGTTACAGGATTGACGTCTGTTCTTCTCCGACTAGAACAAGCACACCGGATTCCAGGAAACAACGTCCATGTTTTCAAGTTTTCCAGTGTCAGTATCTCCTTATATATCTTTCACATCTGCCTTCCCCCAAACACAACGATCTATAGAGGACGTTAGTCATCTGATGGTGACAAAAGCCAGCCTTGATGTTCAGATTGGAGATAGGTCGTTTGTCCACCTGTCTAGGGACCCAGCGTAATGAAGAGGGGCCTGGGCCAGGAGCCTCACACATGACTTCTCCTTCATCTACTTCTGCCAGCTCTTTATGACGGTCAGGGTTTCTTGCCTTCTTCTGTCTCTCTGCCCACTCCCTCTACTGCTGAGATAGACCATGCTTCCTAACTTTGCCAGCTTATTTTGAGAGTCCAAGGAAAAAAATAAACACAGAGTCAAAAGTGCCGTGGCAATGAAGATCTCGTGTTCAGTCTTCTATCCGTATTGAGAGTTAATTTTTTATCTTCCTTTGCATTACAGGCTGGTCAGTCCAGATGGGGTGGAGCAGAGAAAGAAGGGCTGTGATAGATGGGAGAAGGTGTCCTGCAAGAAGAAAACATAGACGAACCAGTGTTGACTTGTGTCTCCATGTACTGATTTAGACTTCTTCTTTTATTTATTTATTTTTTTAAATGTCTATTTATTGTTGAGACAGAGACAGAACATGAGCATGGGAGGGGCAGAGAGAGGAGGAGACACAGAATTGGAAGCAGGCTCCCGGCTCTGAGCTGTCAGCACAGAGCCCTACATGGGGCTCGAACTCACAAACCGTGAGATCATGACCTGAGCCGAAGTCAGACGCCTAACCGACTGAGCCACCCAGGCGCCCCTGATTTGGACCTCTTCTTAACCAGAGACACTATTTCTTGGATCCAGGCTGTTTTTCTCCAAAAAGAAAGTGAATTGCTAAATTATGAAACTAGCACGATGAGATAGATTATGAAACTAGCACGATGAGATAGACGTCTTACCTATGATTTGACTGTGGATTGCTTCCTCCTCCCCACGTTTGTCCTTTAAGAGTCAGAAGTGCTCTTCAATTTAACGAACAGCATAGCTAATAGAGCCCAATTTGCTTCTGGGCAGTTCTATTGGGCCCATAGCACTCAGGTCTACAGTTAAGTACCACCATTTGTGGCCTGTGGCATTGTGCCCACCGCAGTAACTAAAGCAACAAAGACTTCCTGCTCCTCAAGACTAAGCACACACGTGCTGCAAGGTTCATCAGGGCGGCTTTGTGTTCCTCCCCTAACGTAGCCGGTGCTTCATCAGTGAGCCAGGGTGGCCGGAGGCTTGGATTGTTTTTTATTTTATTTTTAATGTTCCTTCAAGGCTCCAGACACACTGGAGACATCCCGACACAGAATGCTTTGCCCAGCACAATGTGATGCCCTTTACCTAGTAACAGAGTGAGTCTCATAAAGGTGCTGCCTTCCCCTCAGAACAAACAACGGAAATGCATCAGGAGAGCTCAGCTGCAGACAGAATGCACATCATGAAGCAGGAGCCACCACGGGATTCCTCAGATGAAAGCCGATTTCAATGAACATTGTGTTTCACAGCCGGCTTCCTCTCGCTCTGTAAGAGCTCCAGAAGGAACATCCCACTTGCGTCTGCTGACACAAAAGAATGCTGTGGCTGGGAGATCTTATCAAGCTTTCCTGTGCCCCAGTAACAGAGCTCCAGTTGTGTCTTGTAAGAATTGCTCATTGTTTCATGGGGACGACTGGCTCCTTTGGGTGGGATCTGATGGCATGTCAGGGAGCGGAGGTAGGTGGTGGTGGGGGGGGGGTGTGGTGGTCAGTCAGTCACATGACCCAGATTACTGGCTGTGAGGAAGTCAGAGGGAAGAGTAATCTTCAGCCAGTTCTGCTGAAGAGCTAAATGGTTAAACTATTAGAATATACGTGTGTTATTTACTTGCGAGTGTCATCAACAGTGCAAGTTAAGAACCAAAAGGAGAAGTGATGGTCAGAGTTTCTCTGTTGGTGTCAGCTCTTCCTTCTATTTAAATCAATTCACCTACGGCTGTTTGTTTCTGGCAAGATTGAAGAGAACAAAGGAGAGTGGTATTGACTTAAAACCAAACATCTCTGGACAGCTTAGATGCTAAGTAAGCGTTCTAGCGTGTATGACACGAACCTCAAAAATATAGACTTGTCTGATGAGGCTGAACTTCAGGCTTAAAAGAATCACGTTTATATTTAAGAGTATAAGTTAATACATTGAATTAATTAAATGTGGACGATTCCAGATCATGTTTCCTTTGCCAAGAAAGTTCACAATAGGGAAGATTGATGGCTACCTGTCTAGCTACATGGAGAGTAGAATTAAGTTTTCTTCTCTTTCCTCTTCCTCTTTCTAAAGGTTTGTTACAGTAATCAGTACATATAAGAGATATATAACTGGTAGTAAGACGTGCCAAGGAAAAGGGTGACTGCAAGCTTCCTACAAGGTCAACGCTTGAGATGGACATTGATGATTTTTCCCTTCTGTATCTTCATGGAGTACTTTCTGAAAGGGCCTTTGCCATAAATGTATTTGTATTCAGTTACTTCAACAAAAAAAACCCAATTATTCTCCTCCTATTCTACCCAAGATTCGGAGGATCAAAGTATTACCAAGACAACACCTTTGTTTGTAAGATATTGGTTATTAAAATTATTAAATGTTGTAATTAATTACGTATACATTTGTTTACTCTCAGCGAACTGTGAGCATCTTGAGGACAGGAGCTAGATCATATTCATCTTCTTGTCTCCATTGCCCAGCACAATGTCTTGTACATGTTAGTGTTCACTAGATATTTGTTGGATGGATAGATGATGGATGGATAGATTGACAGGTGATAGGTGGCTGGCTGACCATGCTATAGTGCCTACAGTTACAAATGACTCGTCTACATGGTTCGTGCCATGACAATACCTGTTAATCCTCCAGGACTTTATTATCTCACTGTTAGATGCATAAAATAAAGAGATTTTTCAAGATCACATAGCCCAGCTCCTTCAGTTTACAGCTGAGGAAATGAGACTTAGAGAGAGAATCTCATTTATTCACAGTCCCACGCTAATAAGTAAGAAGCAGATCTGGGGTAAAATTCAGATCTCTTGCTTTTCAGTCAAATGCCTGCTACATTATGTTGCTCTCCATGACTCATATTTGGAGGCTTCATGGGACCCCGTGGAGCAATCTGTCACTCTTGGCTTATCTGTGAGAGAAAGTGGAACTAGAGAAAAACCAGGTGAAAGGAGCCTACGGGCTGCCGAATTCATATGTTGATGGTACTGAAGGAAGGTAAGAACAGAATGACTCATCTTTATTCAGGCTGATGTCATTCCGCGTTGCTCTCAGAAGACGCCACACTCAAAATTCAGCGGGTGTTCTATTCCCTCCCTAGTCTCCTCGATAACCTTTGGATCTGGTGCAGTCCAGCCCTACTCCGCTGGCCAAAATTTCCGTTTGACACAGAGTCAAGCCTTTCAAAGCCCTTTCCAGAGAAGCTCATGCTAGCCACCTGACGGTGAGGCTGGACTGCTGACTCTTTCTCTAGATAATTCCACTGTAAGGACAGGCTCCCAGCATATCATCTCTGATTGCCTGGATTTCTGTTTCTCTGAATTATGCCCAGTCACACTGCATCTAAATACTTGTGGTTGACCTGTACTTAAAATCCTTTCATTAAGAACCTGACCTTTGAAGCTATTTTAGAATGAACACATAACAACACAGATGAATCTTGAAATAATTATGCTGCGCAAAAGAAACCAGACCAAAAAAAAAAAAAAAAAAAACAGTACATACTGCCTGACTCCATTTATATAAAAATCTAGAAAATGCAAACTAATCTTGATTGAGAGAAAGCACATCAGTGGTTACCTGGGGACGTGGGCAAGGAGAGGTAGAGAGGGGAGGTTGGAAAGAGAAAGGAGTGAATTTTGACAGTGATGAATATTTTACTCACTTGAGTATAGTGATGGTTTCCTATGTATATGTATATGTTACAACTTATCAAGATATGCAACTTAAATATGTGCAGTTTATTTTATGTCAATTATATCTGAATAAAACTGTTTTTTTTAAGAATGCAACCTTTTAAAATCCAACCAAAATACTGTACCGGTCAGGGTTCGATGACAGAGGGAGAAACACTAGGATGTGTGTGTGTGTGTGTGTGTGTGTGTGTGTGCGCGCGCGTGCACAAGCGTGCGTGTCTGTGCCTGATACATTTATCCCAAGTCCAACCATAAATACATTAACTTTGCCCCAGAAGAGGATCCAAAGTTCTTTTTTGACTTGAGGTGATGTTCATTCTTAGTGTGATTCTAGCTGATTCACACTTTTCCTTTTTTATCCTATAACTTACATACTGAGATTTTAGGTTAACTATTAGATTAACCCATATTAGATAATAAGGGGATGAGAAAGGATAAACACAAAAATAACCTGTTAAACATATATACATACATACATACATATATATACACATATATATACACATATATATATGCACAAATACTCATATATTCGTATACATAGTCATATCAAAATAAAGAAGAAACACTCATAACTATTACAGTACTTATACCTGCAACTGGTCATGTGATCATAGATGGTATTTATAGCTGCTTCCTTCCACCACCCATTCCATATTCTCTTTGTCTTCAGCAAAGACTTCAGCCAGTTGTGGCGCGAACCAAATCTTCATTCCTGAAGGGTTATTAGTGTCCCTGCTAATTGAGTTGATGTGGCTTCATACAGGGTATAGAGATACTGAGAGACCACCTAAAGGCTTTTAAAATGGAAACATACTGCCTCTGACCTCTGTGCAGAAGCAGCGCACATTTAATCACCCCCTTCTTGCCTATTGGCCCAGTGGCATGAGTCAAAGTGTCCAGGTGCACACCAGTTCAACAGACTCATTGTTGGGTCCTCCTTTGGAACTAAGACTTCTAGACCAGTAGAGCCAAATATCATAAGGATGGGAAGCAAAAGTTTGGTGGGTCACTAGGGATAACAGTGAGAGGAACCTTTCCCAAACCACCCTTTGCTTCCAGACCAGGAATCCTGGCTATGGAAGAAGCAGAAATATATATTGGATGATGATTTAGAACACACTGCATCCCAGACAACTGACCAAAACTGAGTCTTCAAAAGGCCACCCTACCAGTCCATCAAAGCAGCTGCTTCTGAATGACGGGGGATGTGGTAAGACCAATAAACTGCATGCCTTCCTTGCACACCAGAAACTACAGCCTTCCTTGTTCTGCTTCATTTGTTGTGAAATAAGTCACTTGGGCAGAAGCACTGTGTGCGGGGAAGGCATATCTGTGTCCAGAGTCAGTACCCATTCCAGTAAGAACAAAGTATGTCCTTTCCATGAGGGAGGTAATCGATATAATCTAATCAACCTGCCAATAGGTGGCTCACTGGTAGCTGGGCGTGGTGCCATGTCAGGGGCTCAGTGTCGACTTCTGCAGTTAGCAGACCGAGCACTGTGTGGTGGCCATAGCCAGATGGGCCTTGGTAAACAGAAGTGTATGTTGCTGAGCCTATGTATAACTTCCGTCTTTGCCACCAAGGCCAGTTTATTCATGAACCAATTGGGCAACGACAGGAGTTGCTGGAGATATCCATGGAGTGGCTCATCCTATCCACCTGATTATTAAATATGCCTCTGTTGAGGTTTCCCTTTGGTGAGCATTCACGTAGAACACAAATATCATCACACGCCATGGCCATTTGGATAGGTCTGTCAATCTATCTTTCCTCTAGATCTCCTTGTGACTAACTTTTCAATCATGACCCACGGATTAGTGTAGACTCGTACTTCTGAACACATATCCTTCCAAGCAAAATGGACAATCAGGTGGCTGCTCAAAGTTCTATATACTAGGAGTGTTTTCCTTCACCACCGCCCTTCAGGGCCATCCCAGAGTGGGGCTGTCATGCACACCTGAACATTTTCTTTTTAGCTGGCCGCTTACAAGTGACATCTGCCTATTGTGCAGATTCACGTGCATCCTGGACCTTAGTTTTTTTTTCTTCCTCCATCACCGAGGAGCTCCCCAAGAGGTCAGAGGTGCAGGTTAAGAGAGAGAAGACAACCAGTAGTAGGGGCCATGAGTAGATGGGCTGCTTATTCATGCAGCACACTTATGCCTTCAGATTCTGCTCAAGCCTGATTTTATAAATGTCTCTCCCATCTGAGAATGAAGTGCTTCCATGCATGCTCAACTTTATGGCTTGGAGGGCCAGACAATACCTAGTGATAAGCAGCTCAGGTCATGCCCATGTTCACTTGGTGACCAATAGCTAAGCATTAAACTTCTACCAAAACTAAGTAGCAAAACAAAAGCTATTTCATAAGGGAATAATAGTTGTCCACAGAGCATGGTAGGGCTTTATTCCAAAATCCTCAAGATCTATTCTGTGATCCACCTATTGGAGTCTGACAAAGGCCCTAACCAGCATCCCTCTCTGTCACTGACATTTCAAGAACCATTGAATCTTCGGGATTATATGGTCCAAGGGGCACAACTATTTGCACAGCAGTCTGGACTTCTTGTAGAGCTTTCTTGTTCTGGGCCCTACTCACAGTTGATACTTTTTGGGTCACTCAGTAAATAGGTCGAAAGAGGCGCCTCAACATAACCTTAGACTGGACCCCTAGACATTTCACTGACGTTGCAGACCCCTGATTTGTATGGGATTTATCTCCTATTCCCAAGCATGCAAATATGTCTTATCTTTGTGTCTGGAGCCACTGCTCCTGCCTGCTCCCTGGGTGCAGGAACCCAAGAAGCTGAATGAGGATCTAGGGGAAGATAGAATGGTTGTAAACCAGGTTACTGCCTTATCCCAGTGAGGTGAGACAAGACATGGCTGCTGCTTCACATCCACTCCCCACGCCTTCTATCAGTCTTTTTTATAACCCACCTTAGCCAGGAACTCTGGGAAATGTAGTTCCTCCTAGCCAAGCAGACACATTACAAAGCCACCACAAATGCAATTTATAGTAGATTATTATAGTAGATCATTATGGGGTAAAGAATCCAATCTAGAAGAAGAAGAAGAAGAAGAAGAAGAAGAAGAAGAAGAAGAAGAAGAAGAAGAAGAAGAAGAAGGAGGAGGAGGAGGAGGAGGAGGAGGAGAAGGGGGAGAAGAAAGAAAAGATAAAGGAAAAGATCCTGGCATGGTCTTCTTTCCTGAAGAGTTCATCTAACAAAATGATTCCTTTTACCTACAAGGCCTTGATTCCATGGAATATCTGTTCTGGCCCTGGGAAGATTATCAAAAGAGAGCTGTTTTCAGAAACACAGATTATTTTTTAATAAATAAATGCTTAACAATGCGAAAATATACTCACAGTGTGAATGTATTTATCAATTACTTTTCCGGAGAGACTAACGTTTGCTTAGGTTTGAGATTTTTTTTTTTAATGTTTTGTCTTCAAAGAATTAGAATTTGCTTTTAAGTTAAAAAGTGTGCTGCAGGCCAACGCAGTTGTAATATGCTTTTGCATTTTAATGAAAAGAAAGTCTCAGAATTTGCTCTCCAAAGCTGCCTGGAATGCTGCTTATCGTGGTGCTGGTGAATGATCATTGTGGTTTCAGAATGGACTGTTCCTGGAAGAGGAGAGAATTGACTGCCCCAATCTGTGGAAGTGTTCTTGTGCAGACAGCACTCTTTCTCTTGTTTCTGAAGTCTATAGTCCAAGAGAGAGCTGACATCAACTTTTGCCTCTTACCATATGAATCTATGATTTTCTCTCAGAAAATGGTGAGATGATTGCTCTGTGCAAGGAAAGAGTGTGTGTGTGTGAGTGTGTGGGACGTGATAGGTTTGCAGGGAATTACAGGACAGAATTCACAACAGAGAACAGCTAAAGGAAAGGACAGTGCAAATGAGATAAAGGGAAAGAGGGTTTTCAAATCGTCCTTCCTTATCTCAAGCCAATTTATGAATTCTTGGTGAAGATATTCGTCCACCCACTAGTGCTGACATTTCTAAAAGTTTCCATCACACAATTAACTCTCAACACCTGCCTCAGACACAGGAATCGGGGAAGACCACAAGTGGGAATGATATTAAGTGCACAAACAATGCCACCATTGTAGTGACATGATGGGGTCATCCTGGCTAATTTGCTGAATTGAAGGATTAAAAAAAAAAAAGATATGTGGTGTCTTTGACATAGTATTGGCTGAATATTTATTTAACAAATACACTTGGATGTTTGAATAAGTAAGAAAAGAGTCACATTTTCTCTTTGTATAGACATTTGGCAAATATTTGGTCCTATCCAAAAGAATTCAAACCTTTTTACCCCACCATTTTGGTCCTTGATGCTTTAAAATCTCAAGTAAAGTTGATCCTTACAATTAAAGCATGTTAGGATCACAATGGACAGAGACCCTGAACAACTGAACAAAGGAAGGAGGGAGAAACATAGTAGAGAGTGGAAAGAATTATGGAAATTTTCCACCCGTGGACTGGACACACCCTTGCGCAAACAAAGCTTTTAGGCGAAGGCTGTATTTTATAAAAATGTGATAGAACACTTGATAAGCCCTAAGAGCCCTAAGAGAATAAGCAATAAATTCTTTTTTTTTTCTTTTTTTTTGATTCTCCAACATTCAGTACCACATGCTGAGCAGTTGAAGGGGAAAAACTTTTGTCATGTTTGTTTCCAAATGTCTATTTCCTTTTTGGAGCCCCAGAAGTCACAGCTTCTGTCAAAAGCCAGAGGCTGCACGTCAGCAGTTCTGATCCCAGTAGCTCTTGTCCTAATGTCATCAGTCCCGTCCGCCACCACTAACTGGCCAGCTCTGACACGAGGCGCTGGGCTGGTTGTCACAAGAGAGCTGTCAGGTGCATTTCTCTCTCTCTCTCTCTCTCTCTCTCTCTCTCTCTCTCTGTTGGCTGATGCTCTTTCTCCAGCTCTGCAATGTGCTCTGCATCACGCAGGACAAGGCAGGGAGGCAGATGCAGGCCCTTCCTGAACTTTGTCCCCTGCAGGCGTCTCCCAGTGCTTTGTCACTGGGAGCCAAATGACAGAGGTCCCCTGAGAGCACTTTGCAGAAGTGAA